GTTATAAGAAGTTTGAGTAATATAAGCAGATATTTTGATCACAACGTTAGTGTTAAGTTTAATTTATTATATCGGCCTCGTATATTGCCCCTTTCCTTGCAAAGCCGTCAGGCTCGGGTATTACGTATCTTGAAAGGTGACATTATATCGTTTTTTTTTTGACATTGTATTGTTTTTTTGTGATGTTATGTACGTTTTTCTACAAGATCTTATCTTAGCACTAGCTGATGGATACGCTGTGAATTCGTTTTGTAGAACGTGTTGCCTAAACATCATGATGCTTCAGTTATCAATGTGTGGCTCTGATGTGATGTAAAATCTGCTACAGAGAAAGCATTACTGGAGGTCTAAGCTGTAAGTTGTATACTATAGCTAGAAGGAAACGGCAATGCACAGGTTCATAATGAGGATTTGTGTGCTAATAATATGTGTTGATGATAATTCCATTAGATTCTATCTCAAATACACTTACTTGAGATTCAAAGCATAAATTAGTTGTGCATCCACTTTTTCTTATTCATTCTGGAAATTACATATACAATTTTTCTTAATTTAAAAAATGAGAGAGATAATAAAAGAAAATCCCTGGTTGGTGAATTTTATAGAAATTTATTTTGCGATCTCAATAGAAAATATAAATCGGCGCCTAGATGTGAGGCATTGCGCAAATGTTTGATGTGTGATTGCTACGTCATTACTGTTTCTGTGATGTGGCTTAACTGCACACAACGCTGTCGCGGTGGCGATTTCTTAGTGCTCCGCAAAGTTTTTGAAAACACAAAAAAAACGGGAAAAATCGTAATTTATGACTATGAACATAACCTGTCCTCAGAAAGGACAACATATAAATAACCCGTCGTGCTCAACTAATAGATATACTTCATTGGCAGCATATTCATTAATAATTTTCTCACATAGTAAAAATCACTGATTTTATACAGATGCAGACCAATACACACAATCATCCGGATGCGATCTTGCTATTCAACCAACTTTCTTCTCAGAGACGAAAACCACAGACTACTCGGATTCACAAAACATATGCAACCAACAATGCGTGTAGCTGAGTCAAGCCCCAATAGATAGATGAACATATTTTATAAGTAAAATAATAGAACCAAGTGCTATTTAATGATGTATTTATTTCGTTTATCCAATAAATAACTGTTTATTTGTTAGCGTGGCCTTCCATTGTCCGCCCACCTTATCTACGTTATACAATTAATAATATAAATATATTAGTAACTTACATGACTGAGAGGAAGTAGACCACGGCGACGACGTATCCATCATCATCACTAAACACTAGCTGCAGCTGACGGAGGAGGCGTCCATTTGGATTTTTTGAGAAGGTGCGTAGAATATGTACAACAGGGTGTGCCACGCTTTTGGTAAGCGCGTGCACGGTTGGTAACTGGCAGTGAATGCTGCAGAGCCGTGCAACCTTCAGGTCGAGACGTTCGCCGAAAATCGGTTGGGGATGAAGTTGTTTGGAAGAGCAACAGTCGGAGCTTTATAGGCAACTGGGGTTCAGCATGTGAAAAGACACGGGGGTTTACAAATTTCTTGGAATTTATATGGTCAACTTTATAATAGCGCCTGTTTAGTTACAAGAATAACATTATATTCGGCAAATATTATATATAGCAGTTTACACATTTTGATATCTAACAACTACTTGATGCTGAGTTTATGATCTAAAGCAGTTTATTTTAGTCTTAGTTTTGCAACATTAATTAAAAGTACTAAATATGGGTCTTTGGTTTGTTGTAAGACTGGTCTGCAAACATCGCATATGAAACAGTTTACTCTGCGAAAATAGTTCATTCCAGCTATAGTGGAATACTTCAATCTGCTTGTCAAGGACTAGCTAACAATGACTCTATTAGGATTCTGTGTGCCCCATCACACTTTTCCTCTCTTTTCGGAACAGAACATCCACGCGGTGGTTCGAGGAGTTCCCGTCAACTTCTCGGATACTGAGATTAAGGGAGAACTTGAGCAGAGGGGATATAGCCCTCTCCACATAATTCGATTGAAGCGCAGCAGCGGCGCGCCCATGCCTTTGGTGGTCGTGACACTGCCCAAGACTGAAAAGTCTCAGCAAGTGTTCAACGAACACGAGCTGCTGGGACTGGCCATTCGAGTTGAGGTTCAGAAGAACTCCAGACTCATTGGGCAGTGTCACCGCTGCCAAAAGTACGGGCATGCGCAGTCATATTGCACTGCACCGCCCAAATGCTTAAAATGTGCAAAGGACCACATGACGCATTTGTGCCCCCTCACAGAAGAGGAAGAGCGCAAACTGTGGAGAGGGATATCCCGCAAATAGCCGAACTTGTAAGTTCACTCCAAGGAGGAACTTGTAAGTTATAGCGCAAAGGCGTAATCTTTCATACGCGGACGCAGCTAAGGAAGCAACCTTGCCTGCCCCCTCTACCAACCTCCCTTGAACACGCAAAATGTGGACCTGGCAACCGCGCTAAGGTCCCTACAATAAATTTTAGGCCCACTGATTAGTGCTACCCAAGCGTTGCAGGCGGTATTTCCTGTAAATGTCTAGGTACAATAGTAGACATTTGGGACCTCGGTTGGCCGCGTGGGTCAGAGTGTCGTGCTACTGATCAGCCGGCCGGCCGGGCCGCGAGTTCGAATCTCGCCTTCGCCATGGATGTTGTGACGTCGTGTGTTTGTCCATAATTAGATATATACAATACAAGATTGGATCTGGCTAATGGGACGCAATGTTCTAGTGCAAAAAAAATAGTAGACAGCCATTCATCAAAATTCTTTTTTGGAATTGTTTGGGCATGAGGGATGTTCCCAAAAAAACGGGAATTTCATCAAGCTCTTTTGGATGAAGGTATAGATGTTGCCTTGCTGCAGGAAACGTTGCTTAATCCGGGAGATGGTTTAGCTCTCCCGAATTACGATGTTATCCGAGGTGACAGACTGAACGGTCGAGTTGGCCGTTTAGCAGTGTTGACTAAGCGCGGTATAGACTATTATAGAAGCACTAATGCGGAGATGCATAGCATCGAAGCAGCTTCTGTGGTGGTCAATATGGCGGGAGGTGTCTCGTTGAAGATCACATTGGTGTATGTCAGGTGTAGTGCCAGGTTACAAGAAGCGGATCTATACCCGTACATAGCACTGAAGAGCCGACACACCATCCGTTCAACCATCTTGAGGCACCAGATGAGAAACGCACTGCAAGAACTCCGAAACGAGCAATGGAGCGACTTTCTGGCGGGAATGCTTGATTCAAGTATTTCTCTCTGGAGGGTCGCAAAGTCACTCAGAAACGGAAAGCTCGCCGAAAAAGTGATTTATCGTCACCTTGAGAATTTTTCATCAAGTCACCATGTGATTCCTGATGTTCAATTCGGTTTTCAATCCGAGCATAGCACCGAGCTACAGGCACTCAGGCTGGTGGAACATGTAACCAGAGGGTCCACCCTCAGCATGAGTACTGACATCTTGCTTTTTGATGTCTCAAAAGCCTTTGACAAGGTATGGCACGCGGGCCTCCTTTATAAACTAATCCAAAAGGGTTTTCATTTTTGGCTTCTAAAATTACTGAAATCCTTTCTTGAAGGAAGAAAGTTTCGGACCAAAATTAACAATGTTTTGTCAACAATATGGCCAGTACCGGCCGCTGTTCCTCAGGGTTCGGTACTAGGACCAATCCTTTATTCGCTTTTTATCCATGATGTCCCTTGCCCCAGCAACTATGAAGTCTACCTCTATACTAACGACACTGCCCAGTCGTGTACTGGTGATCTGGTTCACGATGGGTTGCAGAGTGCGGTGGAAGAAGAACTAGAGTGGGCGGAACACGGTGGCTGATTAAAATGAATCATTCGAAAACGCAGGCTATTTATTGTAACAAAAAACAAAGTTCGCCTATATAAAATGGTTATTAGACCAGCCATTACTTATGCATGTGCGGCTTGGTGTTTTCTTGCCAAGACGCATATGCAAAGTAGAATTTGTAACGCTCCATGGTATGTCTCAAACGAGAAACTGCACAGAGACCTTGACATTCCTTACTTGAGGGATTATGTCAAACTGCAAGCGGAATCGCACAGCAACCCTCTGTTGCGCGACTTAGTGGACTACAGAGTGGAGCAAGTTCGTAAGCATTCAAGGCCACGGCTCGCACTGTAATAAAAAATTAGCGCGAACTTTTAGTACACTTAAAATTACACTCTAACAAAATTGAATCAAAAATTTGTTTAGTGCACCTTAAAATTAATCCGTGTACCAAGTCAAAAAGCCTAGGTGTCTCCTCTTAAACTAAACACTTCAGATTTTCTTTGCTCTTCTCCATTTTTCTTCTATTTCCCTTTCTCTTTTTCCTTGACATTGTCTGGTTTCTGGGCAACCAGTACTGACAGATTCGACTAACGTACATTAGATAGTGACTAATGGGCAAAGGTCCTACGGATCACCTAGACAAACAAATGACGAATAGTAGCCTCATCTTTATTTGACATATTTAGGTATAACTGGTGGGTCACAGGTGGCTATGAGGTTTTCAGAAGTTAGAGCTTAGAATTATCACATATTGGAGTATGAACCCTTCAGCTTGCAACTTCCATCGGTTAGTGTCTTAGGCTTTATGTATACTTAAATCCATTATCGTTACCAATGCCTTTGGACTAAAATAAACTGCTAAGGGATAGACGTCCATTGCAACAACCTTGCTTATGTAACTGAAAAGAAAAAACAAACGAGATGCGCCATTGTTCCTTGCCACTTATAGACCATATCATTTCAAAGATATTAATTTTCTACCCTTAACACCAATGTTGTACTAAACAGGACGTGTGCAATATCATCAAAATGACAATCCATCTCATCCCACATGCTAAAGGCCACTACAAACATAGCGATCACACGCCGTTACACCGCCTAGAGTCTGCGACTACTCACTTCCATCCTAATTTCCTCCCTGACCGTTTCGCGACGCTGCTTTCTCGACCTTGGGGGTGGTTTTAGGCGTGCCGTTTCATATGCAGCGCCAGATGGTCACTCCGGCTGAAGCAACGGTCGCAATTTCGGCACTTGAACGGCTTGGCGCCGGTGTGCTTACGGTAATGGCGGGTCAGCTCGTCAGATCGCGCGAACCTCCATACGCAACCCTCCCACGAGCACTTGTACGGCTTTTCACCTGTAACCAAGAAAATGGAACATTAAGATGATATTAAACTTACTCGGTCACAACAAATATGACTAATTAAAAATTATTTTATTTCAATAACATTTTCTATATAATCAGGTAATAGGGATGAGAAATTTGTGATTCAACTATCCGGTACTATATATATATTCGTCCAGTCATGGGTCTGTACGTCTGAATTTCAGCAAAAGCTGTTTACTCTACAATACGTCGAAAGCCTCGAATTTGAGCCACTTTCTGGTTAATCCCGACCACTGATATCCTCCAATGTGATTTGAGATAGGATGGTAGGTGCGAACTAGAAACTCCACTAATTGCAGGACCTAATGATTGTCCGGCCGATAAATAAAACCACATATACATGAATTACTTGTATACATTTCTTTTTAAGAAAATACTTCCTCTACTTATTTATTGAACGGGTCACGTTCGCAAGCCCTACTTTAGCGTAAAAGCGGCAGTTGAAGGTTTCAAGATGGCGGCTGATGGGCGCTATTTCGGTACATTTTTTAAAAGGAATGAGGGGACGTGTGATACCCCATTCTGAAGTCTCCTGTGACTATCGCATAACCCTAGAAGATACAAATCTTTTAAAATTTCGAACTGGTAGGCTGTCAAAGTTGAGGGTTTATGTATCAACATTTAATTGCTTATAACTCAACAATTAATCATATAGTATGTTATATCAACCTTCTTTTGAAAGGGTCCATGGAAATGTGCAATAAAACATTTAGTTTGAGAACATTTTACAGATTATGACATTTTTCTAAATGAATAATATTCCATATTCGGATAGACCCTTCGAAAAGAAGATTGATACAACATACATTGGCTGTTGAGTTATAAGCGATTGAATGTACAAAAAAGTTCAAATATGACAGCCTGCCAGTTCACCATTTCATTTTAAAAATCTTGATATTGCCACTTTTACCCTAAAATACAGTTTCTACGCATCAGTTTCATCACCCTGAATCTCATTGAGTCAGATCAGCATAAAAGCCACAGGATAAGTTTCATCCCTGATTATATTTTGAAAGTTCAAACACATCAGGTTTGGTAGGTTTTCTATTACTCAAATGATTTGATGTTAGGAGTCAGATTGTTGCGTTTTGTGTATAGTCAATATTGCCTTGTCTATAAGAAGGTCAAGTGTCATCATCAACTATGCAAGATCCTGATTCACCGCTCGTATTTTCCGTTCATTCATAAGTCAAACCGATACACATTCTGGCTAATTAATCTAATCTAAAATGATCCAAGCCATGACCGCTGCGTCGGCCAACTCACAAACAAGGAATGGAACCCAGGAATTAATCCAGCACTGGCAATGCTAATAACAATCAACAACAGAACTGACTCAGTATTTGTCATCCATGCGCGGTGCATTGGTGGTGATACGACCAGCCCACGCTCACTATTCCTCGTATTAATCGAGTTTGATGCTGGTTTACATGCTGATAAAATGTCATTAGAATACTAATGCCGTGTATTTAAAGCTGATGGGCCCAACCATATTCTGTCCAATATTACAAACGTAAAAAGTTCTATAGGTTAGATGTACTGTTAAATATTGCATCAAATGGCAAATGTACATATATAGCTTTATATAATTCAAAACAAGACTAAAATCCCCATAGAAAGGTGGCGTCAATTAGGTTGGGTCATTTTCACGCAGCCGTGTACGCGTACAGCATTGTTGTTTCATTTTACAAATCTATAAATTATAGCGCTCTTAAAAACGGTTTTCCTAAGACTTCCTACGCCAATTAGTGCGGAAGCATTGTAGTCGAGAAAAGATTTGCCCGGTAATCATTGGCCCTTCAACTTGGGCAGTACCGCGGGAAATTTGATAAAATTTTGCCACAACCACTTACTACTATGTCAATGACGAAAAAGATTTGTAAACGTTACATTAATTTATGGTATTAGTTAAAGCGTTCTATTCTTGATGAACTTTTGATCCCGGTAATAACATCTATTAGATATAATCATCCTACATATCCTAAATTGAAAAGCTGATAAGTTTAAGTCATGTTACAGATCAACACGTCTCGAATAGTCCGTCCAACTGCCCGATAATGATTGTTCAATCTGACACACCGGTTCGCCAGACCAGCCAGCGTCACTCGTCCAAATCTCCATGGACCAGAGTTGGTCTTCACCACTAGCCTCCCTCTTAAGACAAATGTTTTTTAAAACAAACGGTTATTGGTAACGTGGGAAGTACCTGCTTGACGCCATTCTTTTCAGGAAACTTTTGAGGTACAAATTTCTTTGAATTCGCATATGCAGGTCTAAAAATGAGGAACGTCGAGTTCTTTTATAGCAGCATAAATTTTGTTTGTCTACCTACACTTTAAGTTGATTAGAAGCCTTGAACTTATTTCCAAAATTTTGTCTCTACAAAATTTTAATTATTTTGAAGCCGCACGAATTATCTCAATAACAACTATAAGAGGTGATACAAAAAACAAAGGCATTATCTATAGATCAGTAAAGTATATCAAAAACTAACAAAGTTCAACTAAACATAAGCACTGAAAAGCTCCATTCTCAAGGCACAGGATGCTGCAATTCTGACACACCTGACTGGTGACAGTACACGGATATTCAAATGACCTTGAGATAAGATGACGTCACTCAAATTCTCACCATCACACATCACTAATCCTAGTACATATTTCCAAAGTAGAATGGTTTCATGATTTTTCCATAAGGATTCAGTTTGAATGACTGGAATGTATGTAAATATTGTGTTTATGTTGGATATTATAACTTCAGCACCCTGTATCTCCGGAAGATTTTAAGGCGCATACTATTCATTGAAATTTCTCTTTTTAATTTTTGACATACATCCTACTCTATAAATATTCCCATTATTTTACTTCCCGCACCACTAACAAGAAAGTGTTGCACTCATGAGGATTTTCGAAAATAATAATAATAATTAACGTCTTTTATTTGTAATATTCTTACAGGAGGTGAGATTTAGATACTATATCTATTCTACCATCTAACCCCCTTAACAATACGAGATGTAAAAAAAACAATTTGTTGAAAATTAATACCTGTATACAATAACGACAGAATAAAGTATAATCTAAGTAAAGGCATAAGGAAAATTTCAGGCCATTTATGGATTACAAAAGATTTCGCTGCTGATCAAGAAGAACTTCTTTCACTTTTTCCTTGAATTTGGGTGATGGATTGGTTTCTTTTAAACTGCGGTCTAAAAAATTATATGATTTGAGCGCATTGTAAATATACGTATTCTCAAATAGAGATGTGATGTGGAGCGGAATTGAAAGTCTATCTATATCTAATATTAATGCCATGCATATTTCCTCCACGTATGAATTTGTTTACTAAATGTGACGGTGTTTTTGGATAAAGAACCTTGTGACTCAGATTTAGGAGCTGGTACTTATACATTTTATCAATTTTCATCCATTTGAATTCATTAATGGAATTCGATATATGATCATACTTTCTGAGACCATTTTCAAGTCTGCAACATGTATTCATAATACGATTTCTTGTTATATCTAAATAGGGATAGTAAACCACTAAGCAATACGATATCTTTGAAAGCAAGAAAGATTCACACAATTGCTTTCTCGCAGATTTATGTAATATATATATAGCCTTATTTGCAAATAAGACCCTGAGAATAGCGTAGCACTGAGAAATTAGACAGTTTACGTGTACAACAAGTTTTAAGTCATCATCCATTATAATACCTAGGTTCTTCGAATGATCCACAGGAAATCAATTTATTACCTTTTAAATGTATGCCTATGTCCCTTTTTAAAGTATTATTTTTTGTTCTATTTGCGTATACCAATTTGTCTTCAAAGGGTTCAAACGAAGATTATGACTACTACTGAACTTTTCAATTTCGGTAAGATCTTGATTAAGTTTATTATTTGCTATTTCCAAGTCATTACTCCTAAATGAATAGAAAATTTGAGTACTGTCTGCAAAAAATTGTAAAAATGATGTACACGTACATCACGAAAAACCATGTGTCTCATTTCCGTCGGTGTGTCTGTCTGTCGGAACCTGTTTGACTGTCCGCTAATCTTCTACCCTGCCCTGCTATACGAGTATTTTGGAAAGCACCAGTAAGATTTAGACGAAACTATGTCAATGGCGAAAAGACTTTGTAGTTTATGAAAGTCGATCCGGTGGCGGTGACTTGACTGTGTCGAACATAATCCTTTATGAATTTTATTGTTTCATCTGGAAAGCCTCATCACAACTATAAAAATCTGTTCCTGCTTTGGCGTATTAATCTAGCTTTAATGCGCACGCAATTTCCTCAATGTCATATTAATCCAAACGAAAGTTTAGTCCGTCATCAAGAAATGAGTTACATGAAAACCTGTCCAAGTAACGCAATAAAGAATTGCAGGACCGCTTGAAAAGCATAAATGTAATTGGGAAAGTTTGGGGATCCAATTTAATACAAACGAAAGCATTTCTTATTCTCACCCTCGTTACTGGTAGGTCGAAATCTGAGGAAATATCACATCTATAATTTGCAGATAGCAATCTGCGAATAATTGAAAAAAGTATTTCCATATTTTGTGTCATTCCATATCTGAGGGGATGAAGATAACAGAATTATTATTTTTTTGAATCTGCACCAGTCAGAAGGCCACGTTGAGTGGATGACAAATGGAAACAATGTAAAAAATGACATCAAGTAGGTTAACTCTGCACTTTCCACGTAACGCCGTTATCAGTAGGACATAGGATAGGATTATGTTCAGCACAAACTCCTCTCTGAGAACAAAGTAAGTCAAACAGGTCCATACAATAATTAGCGCATAGATATTCTTTCCCTGCCCAACGTATGGCAACGTCGCCTCTCGATACTTAAACCGGTCAGGCATGACAGCGCGGACACAGCATAAGAAACACTATGCTGTGGCGCACACCCGTACAACACCCACCAAAAGTTTTCGAAAAAAATAGTTTACAGGTAT